TGTTCAATGAGGTAACCATACTCTGCTAGCCATTTTTGGACCAATCAGATACTCAACATCTTCTCTTTGCAGAAAGCAGTAAAATTTTGGCCCCAAGAGTCTTCCATGATTCCTTTCTTGTACTCCATGGAGTAGCTTTTGCTTTTTGTGCTCATTTCTAGGGGTAAAAAAAAGGAATTGGGGTATCAAAGTGGGAGGAGAGGGATCACTTAAAATGACACAGGGGGGATCAGAGAGGGAAATCAAAATATCATAGGAGAATCAGAGGGGGGATTACCATTTTAGAAACCCCTTTTGATCCTCCTGTGTCATTTTAAGTGATCCCCCTCCCCCCACTCCTGTGCCACTGAACACCTTCACCAGACATCCTCCCTACCCCTTTATCAGACATTTACCCCCTGGGGCCTGCCTGGGGACTGTCACTGGGCTTGCTGGGGCCTGCATCTGGGCTGGAGCAGGGTCTGCCACTGACTGAGAACCTTCAGTCATCATGAGGGCGGCCGCGTCACTAGAGGGCGGTAGTGTCACTAGAGACAGACCAGCACTCACCACCTTTGCCTTGTCCAGTCCACTCTAATCCTCCTGTTCTTCTACACGCATCTGCAAAAGTCTCCTCCTCTCTCCCGCCCCGCCCTCACTGCTCACTCTGACCTCCGCTCTGCCTCCACACAGCAGTGACGTCAGGACTCCGTGTAACGTCACTGGTTGCTAGATGCCAGTCGGGGCGGCCCTAGTGACCAGTTTATGGTAAATTAATTTTCATTCTGAGACAGAGTCTAGGGGGGGCCTTATTTTCAGGGGGGATGCCTTATATTTCACTCAGAAGGAAACCTGTAAGTAGGTCTTATTTTCGGAGGATGTTTTATTTTGGGGGAAACACAGTATTAAGGAAGGCTACGATAAACAGAAGTAAAAAACAAACAAAAAAAGCAATTAAAAAATACTAAGCAACAATAACAACAAAAGAATAAGCATATCAATTTCACTAAAAAGCATAAAAATTCACTATAATCAACATTCACGCAAACAAAAACAAAAGGATAGAGAGAAGAAGTTTTTTGTTTTGTTTTTTAACTAGTTAATATAGTGAAGAGAGTGGTATTTATGCACTTGGAGCAGGGAGTTGGAAATTAGGTCTATAAGTATGGTGAGAGTTTTAGCAGGGGGTATACAGAAAGAATAGGGAAAAACTAAAGCTAGAAAGGGATAAGATAAACAGGAGATGAAAAGGGTAAAGGTTAATAAGAGAGTGATGGCATAAAGGTCAAGTTGAGATAGGGTTGAACGATGCTATAGTAGAGGTTAAAATAGAATGAAGACTAATCCCAATGTAAAATAAAGAGAAAATAAAATGGTACTGAAAAAAAGAAAAAGGAAACAAAAAATGCAAAGTAGCAGTAGTAATAATGATGATTGAAATTAAAAAATGAATAATTGAAAATGTAAAAATCAAGTAAGGAAAAAAAATTCATTTCTTAAGTAAAAGATGTAAAAAAATGAAAATAAAATAAAAGGTGTAAAAAATGAAAATAAAATAAAGAATAGAAAAATTAGCATAAAAATTTGCAGTAGTGGTCATTCACTTCCTCTGTTATTCTATTTGGCATGCCTGTTTCTCGGTCCAGACAGTATTGCAGTTACCAGTGTTCCACTGCACCTCACTTTTGTAAGCTAGTCCTTAATTTTAAGTAGGCTGTTTCTTAGTTATTTGTGTCCATTTATTTTTGATTAATTAAAAGTAATAAGAAGCCAAAACTGGTTTGGCTCAGTGGTAGAGCATTGGACTGTAGACTGAAGGGTTCCGGGTTCGATTCCGGTCAAGGGCATATACATTGGTTGTGGGCACATCCCCAGTAGGAGGTGTGCAGGAGACAGCTGGTCGATGTTTCTCTCTCGTCGAAGTTTCTGCCTCTCTATCTCTCTCCCTTCCTCTTTGTAAAAAGTCAATAAAATACATATTTTTTTAAAAAGTAATAAGAAAAAAAAAGGAAAGGAAAAATGGGAACAACAAAAAAGTCAGTTTGTAATTCAGCCCCTAGGTGGCAGTGTTTCTGGTTTGACTTCCCAGTCTTTTTGGCTGCTCTAGCCTTCTTTCTCTATGGCTCTATGTTTTGTCCCGGTAGGCTGCCTGGGTGCCAGCTCCCAGACTGTCTCTTCTCGCTCTGATCTCCTGTTTCCAGGAAGGCAATTTCCCCCTGCAGTCTCCCAGGATATGCCAAACTGGGCAGTCCTTCCCTAGTACTCAGAAGCAAGGGGGTGAAGGGGATCAGGCACAGGTGTCCAGATGTCCTGCTTTTGGAAGGACAGTCTCGATTCTTAACAATTTATCCCGTGTCCCTTGGCGTTTTAAAAAAGTCCCGATTTGGGGGAAGATCATGCCAAACCCAGCACTGGGTCTTGCAGCACACGATTCTCTCTGCAGCCACTGCCTCTTTCGGCACATGTCTGCGCGGGGCCGCTTGGGGTGCAGGGCTGCTCGGGGCACGGGATTGCTCTGGTTGTGGAGCCACTTGGGTGCGCAGCGGCTACAGTCGCTGCCGGAGCAGCATGTACTACAGTTTTTTTAATCCAGTCATCTACCGATGGGCATTTAGACTGTTTCCAAATCTTAGCTATGGTAAATTGTGCTGCTATGAACATAGGGGTGCATATATCCTTTCTGATTCGTGTTTCTAGTTTCTTGGAATATATTCCTAGAAGTGGGATCACTGGGTCATATGGGACTTCCACTTTTAGTTTTTTAAGGAAACTCCATACTGTTCTCTAGAGTGGCTACACTAGTCTGCATTCCCACCAGCAGTGCAAAAGAGTTTTGTTTTTTTTTTTCACCACATCCTTGCCAATACTTCTCATTTGTTGATTTGTTGATGTTAGCCATTCTGACAGGAGTAAGATGGTACCACATTGTTGTTTTGATTTGCATCTTTCTGATGATTAGTGACTTGAGCATGTTTTCATATGTCTCTTGGCCTTCCTTCTGTCTATTTTCAAAAAATGTATATTTAGATCAGTTGCCCATTTTTTCTTTGGGTTTTTTATCTTATTTTTTAAAGTATGAGTTCTCTGTAAATGTTGGAGATTAAACACTTATCATTGATATTATTGGCAATTACGTTCTCCCATAAAGTGGGCTTCCTTGTTGTTTTGTTGATGGACTCTTTTGCTGTGAAAAATCTTTTATTTTTATATAGTCCCATTATTTTATTTTCTCTTTAGCTTTCATTGGCATAGGAGCAGTATCAATGAAGAAGTTCTTTTGGCATATGTCTGAGATTTTGCTGTCTATGGATTCCTCTAGTATTTTATGGTTTCCCATCTTATGTTTAAGTCCTGTATCCATTTTGAGTTTACTTTTGTGTATGGTGTAAGTTGGTGGTCTATTTTCATTTTTTTGCATGTATCTATCCAGTTTTTCCAACACCATTTATTGAAGAGACTATAGTGACTTCATTGTATGTTCTTGCCTACTTTGTCAAATATTAATTGGGCATAGTGGTTTGGGTTGATATCTGCATTCTCTCTTCTAATCCATCGATCTATATGTCTGTTCTTGTGCCAGTACCAGGCTGTTTTGAGAACAGTGGCTTTGTAATATAGCTTGATATCTGGTATTGAGATCCCACTTATTTTGTTTTTCTTTCTCAGGATTGCTGCAGCTATTCAGGGTCTTTTTTTTATTCCAGATGAATTTTGGGGTAGTTCTTTCTAGGTCTGTGAAATATAAAGTTGTGTATTTTAATATGAAGGGCATTAAATTTATAGATTTCTTTGGGTAGTATGGACATTTTGATTATGTTGATTCTACCAATCCATGGACATGGTAATGTTCTTCCATCTATTTATGACTTCCTCTATTTTATTTTCAGTGTCATGTAGTTTTCTGTGTACAGGTCTTTTACCTCCTTAGTTAAGTTTATTCCTAGGTATCCTAATTTTTTTGGTGTGATGGTAAATGAGATTGCTTTTATAGACTCTCTTTCTGTAAGTTCATTATTCATGTATAGAAATGCCATAGATTTCTTGGCATTAATTTTGTATCCTGCTACCTTGCCGAATTAATTTATTAAATATAATAATTCTTTTATGGAGTCTTTAGGGTTTTCTTTGTACAATATCATGTCATCTGGGAATAAGGACAGGTTTACTTCTGCTTTTCCAATTTGCATGCCTTTTATTTCTTCTTCCTGTCTGATTGATATGGCTAGTACTTCCAGCAGTATGTTGAACAGGAGTGGTGAGAGTGGGCATCCCTGCCTTGTTCCTGTTCTTAGGGGAAATGGTTTTAGTTTTTGCCCATTACATATGATGTTGGCTGTAGGTTTGTCATATATGGCTTTTATTTTGGTGAGGTATGATCCTATCAGCTATTGCTGATAGCTACAGCAATCCTGAGAAAGAAAAACAAAGTAGGTGTGATCTTTTTTTTTTCTTTTAAATATATTTTATTGATATTTCACAGAGAGGAGGAAGGGAGAGAGATAGAGAGCTAGAAACGTCGATGAGAGAGAAACATCGACCAGCTGCCTCTTGCACACCCCCTACTGGGGTTGTGTCCGCAACCAATGTACATGCCCTTGTCCAGAATTGAACTTGGGACCTTTCAGTCTGCAGACCGAGCTCTACCACTGAGCCAAACCGGGTTCGGCGAAGCCAAGCTTTCCACCTGCCCTTGCTGGCCTGAGCCTCCACTCATGGCTACAAAGTTTCAATTATAGAAGGTAAACAAATCCAAATAGAAATGGCAGTAGCCATGGAGCTGGAAAGAGTGGAAAACTAGGGTTGCCCCTGGCAATGGAAGAAGCAAAGCTTTCTGTACACTGTGGCCTTCTTAGGCCTCTGCTTAAGGCTACAAAGTTTTAATTATAAAAGGATAATAAACTCCAACAGAAATGCCTGCCAGCCACAGAGTGAGCAGGAGGCTTGGCTCTGCTCCAGGCTACAAAGTTTCAATTGTAGAAGGTAAATAAATTCCAGATACCAGGGCCTCCACTTGCGACAACATGGGGTGTGGCTGGTCTGCAAACCACCACTGGCCCCTCATTCAGGCCGCCCCATGCCACAAGGGAACCCCCACCCTGATCAGGGACACCCTTCAGGGCAAAGCAGCTGGCTCTGACCTTACAAAGCACCGGGCCTCTATCTTATCTAATAAAAGAGTAATATGCAGATTAACCATCACTCCAACACACAATATGGCTGCCTTCATCTGGTCAAAGATCCTGCCCCCATGTAGACACAAGATGGCAAGCACAAGATGGCCAGCAGGGGCGAGCAGTTGGGAAGCACCAGACCTGCAAGGGAGGGTAGTTGAGAGGGAGGCAATCAACCCTGCAGGGGAAGGCAGTTAGGGGTGACCAGACCAGCAGAGGAGGGAAGTTGGGGGCAAACAGGCTGGCAGGGGAGCAGTTAGGCATCAATCAGGCTGGCAACGGAGTGGTTAGGGGGTGATCAGGCTGGCAGGCAGAAGCGGTTATTGGCAATTGGGAAGGCAGGAAGATGAGCAGTTGAAAGCCAGCAGTCCTGGATTGTGAGAGGGATGTCCAACTGCCCATTTAGACCCTACTGGGATCAGACCTAAACGGGCAGTGGGACATCCTTTGAGAGGTCCCAGATTGGAGTGGGTGCAGGCTGGGCTCAGGACAACCCCGCTCTGTGCATGAATTTCATGCACTGGGCCTCTAGTACTATAATAAGGGGAACCAATTCAAATTCTCACCATTTGTTTCATACCCACAAAAACCACTTCAAGGGCATTAATGATTTTTCACAACTGACCAGTTTTGTGCAAGTAAACCATGTTTCTTTTTAAAAAGACTTGTTTACTTGCCCAGGCTCAAGCATATTAAAATCTAGCACATAAAGCCAGTTACTAGAGGTAGAAATACACCCAATATACTATTACGGCAACAGCCATCAATTACAGTTAAGAATTTTTCTGTAACAACCAAATGGATAATCAAATATTGCAACAACTCAAGTATTACTGAGCAAAGTGCATTTCTGCAGTATTCAGTGTTGCTATTCAGTTTTCTAACTTAAAACAGCCTATGATAACTGGCAGCAAAGAAAATCCTTGCAATAGACTGCCTTCTGCTTGCAAACTTATGATGTGAGTATTGCATGCTGCTAATATGCTATCTAAACATTAAAGATACTCCTAAAATATTTGCTGGTAGACTATGATTATGACATTACACTACAAAAAAAAACTTTATGCAGAAGAAAATCCTAACTGATGTGACTCTGCTTTAAATATTGTGAAAACATTACAGTGGAATGAATTTTCGCAATGGTTAGGTCAAACGCAGTTACATCATAGCAACAGTATGTTTTCTATTGATACAACTTAAGGCTTTGGCTGGTTCTTTAAGTCAGCTTATTCCTCTGATTCTTCTTCTTCAGCAGTTTCTAGCCAGGTTAGTCACTGATTCACCTGGAACAAACCCTTGCCTTTCCCCAGAAACTCTTGGGTTATATCTTCTTTCCAAGCCAAGAGAGCTTCTTCTTCAATAATTTCCATGTCATAGAAGTGAACAAAAAAGTGGAGTAACATGCCTTTTGGGAAGTTGCTGTTGTAGCAATGCACCTGAAGAGCATAGAGGGCATTGACTTGTAGATCAACATGATCTTGAAGGAATTTCTGCATCACTGGCTTGAAAGAAAGAAGCAGTTGTTTTTCCTGCTCTAACTGATTTCTGGAAGGAGCAGAGGAAGAATCTGTTTCATCTCTGGGTGGGTTTACTTTACTAGAAATATACTGTAAGAAGCTAGTCATTAAGATGTTCACAAATCCTGCTGAAACCGGTTTGGCTCAATGGATAGAGCATCTGCTTGGGGACTGAAAGGGCCCAGGTTCGATTCTGGTCAAGGGCATGTACCTTGGTTGCGGGCATATCTCCAGTAGGGGGTATGCAAGAGGCAGCTAATTGATGACTCTCTCTCATTGATGTTGCTAACTCTCTATCTCTCTCCCTTCCTCTTTGTACAAAATCAATAAAATACACTTTAAAAAAAAGATGCTCACAAATCCTTTATATGAAGTTTGGGAGAGATGTTATCTTTAATCCACTTATCCCTGAATCCATTTCATTCATCACTTTAATTAAATTCCACAGATAAGTGAGATTACGTGATACTTGTATTTCTCTGACTGGCTTATTTTGGTTAGCATAATACTCTCCAGATCCATCCATGCTGTCACGGAAGGTAAGAGTTCCTTCTTTATTATGTTCAAGTCTCTTCTTTCTGCTGTATCATTAATAGATTTCTATCTTCAATATTACATTTGCCCCAATCTATTTCTTATGCTCACCAATTCATTCTTTATCTCTTCTATTGAATTTTCATCTCCAAAATTTCTTTCCAGTTATCTTTTAAAGTTTCAATCTCTTAGGTAAAGTATGCATTTTGTTTGTTGATTTGTTTCTAAGCTCATAAAATTAACTATTTTCTCATATATCTTTGAGGTATTTTTAGAACAACAATCTTGAATTCTTTGTCATTTATATCATATATTTCTATATTTTAAGTTCGTTTTCTAGAAATTTTTAAATTTCCTTTTTGAGCTTACTTGCTGCATTAATTACCCATAGTATTTGAAGGATTACTTTACTATCTAGACCTCTATGTATGAGTGGCACTTCTCTAGATGATTAATACAAAGAAGCCTTTCTATTATTTTCCAGTAGGTGGCAATGAATCACAAGTTTTAAACTGTGAAATCCCAGTACTGTTCCTCTCCCCCCCCCCTCCCCCAAGCTAGATGTTGCCTTCACTGTATCCAGGATGTATAGAGGTGGGATGGACAGGGCAGGAGAACCAACCAGCTTCTTTGTTGTTGTACCCTCACAGTAACACCCACCTCAGACCTCTCTGGGGTCCCCCTGCATACCAACCATGACACTGATCACAAAGTGCATTCTTTGCTGAGCCAAAAGTGTTTTTGAAGTGCCAGTTTTCAAGTTTGCAGATAATGTGCTTTACAGGTTTACACCAGGGGTGAAAGGAGGTGAATTCTGGGAGGCTACAAGGTGGCAGAATTCTATGGCTTTGTTTCTCTGTCTAGAATGCCATCTGCCCCAGAACCGCAGATGCACCCCCATATTGTGTATTTGCACAGGTCTCTGAACCAGTTGCAGCATGTACAGTTCACTCCTGCAGGAAGGCTTGCTAAATTCCTTGGCTCCTTTGTTCAAAGGGAGCACCCGCCACACCTGATTCTTTCCCTAGGTGAGCCCAACCATGCGCTTCTGGCTTCAGGGTTGCTTCCATGGCTCCTAACATCTCTCCTCCCTTCTGGCCTTTTTCTTTTTCTCCCATTTGCCCACCTTTAGATGTTTCAATGTGCAAATTTCTCAGGTATGCTTGTGCATTGAGCAGGAAATTCTTTGTTGAGTTATAGCTGTTCAAATTGTTGAAACTTTAAGGGAAGAGACCAAGGGATTCTCTCTCGCTGTCACATGTGTCAAACACAAGGCCCGCGGGCCAAATCCGTCCCGCCAGGCCTTGCAATGTGGCCCGCACCACGCTGTCATCACTGCACTCCGCTGCGTTTCCATCACAATGACAGTTTATGACTGTTCAGTAAACCATTCGGCCCGCGATTTAGGCTGGATTTTAGATTTTGGCCCCTTCTCTGATTGAGTTCGACACCCCTACGTGTAATTCCTCATCTATTAGGTTTTAATGCCTGGTTATAATCCACTGTGGATTGAGGTTCCACACTCTGGGCCTTTGGCTCTTATTTCAGAGTTATTATTATTTTTAAAATGTAGCATATGTTTGCATGTGTTAGTAATTTTACCAGCCTGTTTCCTGCCTATATAATGTTCACATTTTAATATCCTTCTATTATTTTTCCTCTTCCTATCCCTTTTATTATTTTTTCTCTTTCATTTGGAAGTTTTACTTCTTTTATGACATCTCAAAAATGTGTAGTTCTCTTGTGTATATTATTAGGATTTTCACCATTAGACATAGTGCTCCTCCACAAATTTTTATATATAATCTCATTTCTATTCCTTGCTATTACTGAGATGGCTAAGTTGTTCCAAGAGTCACACAAACAAAACAAAACAAAACAACCCTGCAAAGTCCACCCTCACTCTTGATTTTTCTCAATCATGTTTATTTAAGACTCTTCTTGCTTCTTTAGGTAGGGCTATAAGAGTATTAACATTATTCTCAAAGCTGCTTTTTCTGTGTCCCATAAATTTTGGATTTTTGTGTGTCCATTTTCATTTGTATTCAGGTGTTTTTTTTTATTTCTTCTTTGATCTCAGTGTTAATTCATTTAAATTACATGGCATTTCCCTTCATGTGCTTGAATGGTAGTTCATTTCTAGTTCCATGCCATTGTGATCTGAGAAACTGCTTTATATGATTTCAATATTGAATGAGCTAAGACTTATTTTGTTTCCTAATAAATTGTATATTTTGGGAATATTCCATATGAACTTGCGAATAATGTATATATATATATATATATATATATATATATATATATATATATATGTGTGTGTGTGTGTGTGTGTGTGTGTGTGTGTGTGTGTGTATACATATATAAACTAGAGGCCCAATGCACAAAATTTGTGCAAGGGGCTCAGTCCTCACAGTCACAGCAGCTGCCCTTGGCCCTCACAGCTATAGAGGCTGCTCTTGGCCCTTGCAGCTGTAGAGGCTGCTTTCAGCCCTTACAGCCCCAGCTTCATTCAGAAGGTCATCCAGAAGGATGTGTGGAAGGTCTTTCAGCTTTCCAGTCTAATTAGCATATTAAGCTTTTGTTATTATAAATACACACACACACACACACACACACACACACATATATATATTATATGTATATATATGTATATGTTCTCTTATATTGGGTGCATATATGTTTATCAGGATTATGATCTCTTGTTGATCAATACCTTTAGTATTATATAGTGACTTTCTTTGCATTTTTTATGATTTTTGTTTTGAAATGTATTATGTCACATATAGGAATTGCTACCCAAGCTTTTATTTCATTTCAGTTTGCTTAGAATATTGTTTCAAGTCCTTTACCTGTAGCTTGTCTGAATCTTTTGTTCTGAAGTGGGTCTCTTGTAGAAAACATATGTATGGATCTTGTTTTCTTATGTATTCTGCTTCCACTATATCATTTAATTGTAGCATTTATTACATTTACATTTATGATTATTACTGAGTAGAGGCCAAGTGCATGAAATTAATGCACAGGTAGGGTCCCCAAGCCTGGCCAGAAATCAGGGCCTATCAGGGTCTTCCTTACCCCAGCTGTCAGCTACTAGTTGGGGCCTTCCTTTGTTCCATGGGTGCTGCCCAACCTTTGCAGTCAGACATCTGGTAGTCAGACCTCCCTCTGACAATCCAGGACCACTCAGGGGATATCCAGTTACCGGGTTAGGCCTGTTCCCTGCAGTTGGACATCCAGTAGTCAGACATCCCTCTCACAATCTGAGACCCCTCACTCCTAACTATCTGCCTGCTTGCTCCTAATCACCCGTCTGCTTGCTCCTTACTACCCACCTGCTTGCTCCTTACTGCCTGCCTGCTCACTCCTTACTGCTCACCTGGTTGCTTTGGCTTTCATATATATAGACTAGAGGCCCAGTTCATGAAATTCATGCATGGGGAGATGTCCCTCAGCCTGGCCTGCACCCTCTCCGACTTGAGTCCCCTCAAGGGATGTCTAACTTCTGGTTTAGGCCCGATCCTGGGATTAGGCCTAAATCAACAATCGAACATTGCTCTCACAATCCAGGACTGCTGGCTCCTAACTGCTCACCAGCCTGCCTGCCTGACCACCCCTAATCACCTCAGCCTGACTGCCTGATTGCCCCTAACCACCTCTGCCTGCTTGCCTAATCTCTGCTTAATTACTCCCCTGCTGGCCCGGTCACCCCTAACTGCCCTCCCCTGCCAGCCTGGTTGCCCCCTCTTCCCTCCCCTGCCAGCCTGGTCACCTCCAACTGTGCTCCCCTGCTGGTGTGTTTGCCCCCACTGCCCTCCCTTGCTGACCTGATCACCCCCAGCTGCCCTCCTCTGCCAGTCTAGTCACCCCCTAACTGCTTGCTTTCCTGCACTGGCCTGATCTTGCCCCTAACTGCTTGCTCTCCTGCCAGCCTGATCACCCCTAACCACCTCTGCCACAGCCCCCACCACTGTAGCTTTGTCCAGAAGGAAGTTGGATGTCCAGAAGATGTTCAGTCGACCTAGTCTAATTAGCATATTACCCTTTTATTAGTATAGATGTTTGCTGTGGAAAAAGTCCTACATTTACATTTTTTTTCTTTTATAACTTTAAAAATATTACTCCATTGTTTTCTGGCATCTATCACTCATTTTCTCCTTTATGTCAAGATATAGCTTGGGGTCATATACCAAAAATATCCACAGAATAATTTATAAAATTTAAAAACCTAATATATTTTAAAGAAAGAAAACTATTTGGAAGTTTAATTATATTTGATCTTCTAATAACCTAATGCAAAGCCCATATCTATGTAAAGGAATCATGCCATAATATATGGCAAAATCATCCCTTTCTCACAATTACTTGATTGCTTTTTCTAGTGTTCTCCAAATTGGGGTATATGTGAAATTAATCCATCAAAGTGTGTGAATAAAATACTATAATTTCAATTTATATGATTTATTTAATCTTTAAAAATGTATCTATCTTAATGTATGATTTATATAAACTATATTATTATAATAGAATATAAATTATACATAAGTTGTACTAAAAAGAAAGTGTTGAAAACACTACACTGTAGAAAGGAAGTGAAAAATCAATGGAGGTGCAATGTGTCTTTTTCCAAGAATATGAAAGCATTGATCAGTTAGCACGCCAGGCTTCCAAACTTAAATTCCCATGATCACAGGCCATACCATCTTCCCCCAAGATCATTCAGAGTTGTGATTCTTAATCAGAACTGAATATCCAAATTATCAGAGAAAAAAATGTAAACGCATACTTAATTAAGCACACCCAGAAATTCTGCTTCATGAATCTACGAGTTTTCAAGAATGTTTATATTTTTGAAAATTTCCAAGTTAATTCTGACATTAACCTTCAGTTGTGAACAACTGGATTACATATGTTAATTACTCAGTATCTCCAAAATCTTTCCTAAGTAAGTCAGTAGTTATTTAATGATGAGTATAGGCTAGGATTTGGGCTGTAGACTACAGCTTTACTTAGGAAATGAAAATATGTCTAACTCAAACATAAATATGTTTGACTAATTTTACTTATTTTTTGTTTACTAATTTGATAGTTTAGAAAAGTAAATAAAAAGGCCTTAGAATATATATATGTATATATATATATATATATATATATATATATATATATATATATATAATATCGGATTAAGGAGTGTTCACAACTCACTATTCTTGCTAACTAATATGGAAGTATTATTTAAAAATAAATTTTATAATGTATATCCTCAGTAGACAATATAATTATTATCAAATCAAATTGGCACTTTCCAAATAGAACATATCATGCATCAACTTCTCCTGAGTGTAAGAACAATTCAAAACACAGATAAATTGTTATAGTATATGCCACTATCACACATCATTAGTGGTTTGATTTTATGTAAGTACTGAGACAACACCAAAATGAAGATTTTTAAAAAACTTATTTAGTGAATGTAAAAGATATGTGGCTAATTACCATTTTAAACTTTTTCACTGAAAAACTGGAGGTATACTGGTTGGATTTACTATTCTATATAATTAAATAAAAGTCTATATAGTAAAAGCTTAATATGCAAATTGACTGTCACTCCAACACACAAGATGGCTGTCCCCATGTGGTCCAAGATGGCTGCCCCATGTGGACACAAGATAGCCACCACAAGATGACCAGCAGGGAAGGGCAGTTGTGGGCAATCAGGCTAGCAGGGAAGGGGAGTTGGGAGGGATCGGCCTGCAAGAGAGGGCAGTTGGGGGCAATCAGGCTTGCAGTGGAGGACAAATAAGGTGGGCCAGGCCTGCAGGGGAGGGCAGTTAGGGTGACCAAGCCAGCAGGGAAGGGAAGTTGGGAGGGACAAGGACTGCAGGGGAGGGCAGTTGGGGGGATCAGGACTGTAGGGGAGGGCAGTTTGGGACAACCAGGCTGGCAAGAGAGGGCAGTTAGGGATGACTGATCAGCAGGGGAAGGCAGTTGGGGGCGACCAGGCTGGCAGGGGAGGTCAGTTAGGGGCAACCAGGCTGGTAAGGGAGAGCAGATAAGGGGGACCAGGTCTTCAGGGGAGGACAGTTAGGGGCAATTGGGCTGGCAGAGGAGCAGTTAGGCATCAATCAGGCTGGCAGGAGAGTGTTTAGGGGGTGATCAGGCTGGCACACAGAGCGGTTATGGGCAATCGGGCAGGCAGGCAGGGGAGCAGTTGGGAGCCAGCAGTCCTGGATTGTGATAGAGATGTCCAACTGCCCGTTTAGGATTGATCCCTTGAGGGTTCCCAGATTGGAGAGGGTGCAGCCTGGGCTGAGGGACACAGCACACCCCCTGACCCTCCCGTGCATGAATTTCATGCACCAAGCCTCTATTATTTTATATATTTTATAATATTCAAATTAATGCTTTTATTTTATCTTTTGTTCCACTATTTTTGTTGAAGTTTCTGGTAAAAATATACTTTTTATCATATATAACTTGATTTAGAGGAAAGATATGACATGGATTTTAAGTATACATTTTTAGATAATAGAAATCAGATAATTCATGAAATTTCTTTTTTATTATTGAGAGCTATTAATAATTACTGATCAATAGTAATTATTTCTGTTATTATTATCTGTAGTACAAAGTCAATTAAACCATTTTCTTTCTTTTTTTTTTTTTTTAATAGACAAGCAGTAAACATCAAACCATATGACAAGTCCATGCCAAGTAAGAAATTTTAGTCCTTGGAGTTTATTATCTTTTAGATTATATTTGAAAATAAGTTTATTGGTAAATTACTAGTATCTTCCATTCAATATGATAAAGCATAAAATGTATTGAAGTTTTGTTAAAATTTAGGAAAATGTATGTGTGTATTTATAAAATATTTCTGCCCTTGATGTGAGTTTATATGCATTATTTTAAAAGATAATATTTAATATACTCTTCCTCATGATAAAAAACAATCTTAGTTTCATAAGGCTCCTTTATGTTTAAAATTAACTACAACAAAATGAAAATTAGAAAAGGAAAATACAGTTAGAACGATGAAGTGGATGATCCATTTGTTATACAAATACAACTTTCAAAAGTTCTTCTTAGTATATTGAGTTTAAATCTATCTTCATTACTACAATGTTTACCCATTGGTTCTAGTTCTTCCTTCAAGAAATTCCAGAAATAAGTCTCTAATTTTGTGATTAAGAGAATAGACACTGGACCCAAAATATCTGTTTGAATTTTAAATCGTATACTTTATGATTTTGATCAAATAATTTAAACTCACTACTTTATTTTTTCTACATCTGTAAAACAGAGGCAATTATCTATCTATATAAAAGCCCAAGGGACCGTCACAACTGAACAAATGATTGAACAGGTTGTGTGGGGTGATCAGGCTGGCAAGGGGGGTTAGTGAGGGGCGACCAAATAACTGAGCAGCAGGCTGCGTGGGGTGACCAGGCCGGCAGGGGGAACATTGGGAGTAACTAGGCTGGCAGGGGGGAAAGTGAGGTGATAACCAAAACAACCAGCACAACCTGTACAACCAAAACAACCTGTACAGCAGGCTGTGTGGGGCGACCAGACTGGCTGGGGTGGAGGGGCAGTGAGGGACCACCAAACAACCAAACAGCAGACTGCATGGGGCAACCATGTCAGCAGGGCAGGAGCAGTGAGGGATGACCAAATAATTGAACAGCAGGCTGTGTGGTGTGACCAGGTTGGAAGTGGGGGCAGTTGTGGGCAACCAGGCCAGCAAAAAGGTGGGGGGGGCGGGATTGGAGGCAATCAGGCCAGCAGGCAGAGGCAGTTAGGGGTGATCAGGCCAGCAAAAGGACAGTTAGGGGCGACAAGGCCAGCAGGGAGGGCAATGAGGGGTGATCAGGCAGGCAGGCTGGTGAGTAGTTAGAAGCCAGTGGACCAAGATTGTGAGAGGGATGTCTGACTGCCAGTTTAGGCCCGATCCCTGGTATCAGGCCTAAAGTGACAGTCAGACATCCCCCAAGGGGTCCTGGATTGGAAAGGGTGCAGGCTGGGCTGAGAGGAACACCTGTCCGGGCACGAATTTCATGTACTGGGCCTCTAATACATTATATTATCTAATTTAAAGTGTTGCTTGAGGATTAAATGAGGTGATCTGTATAAAATGTTTAAAACACTGTCTGATACATAGTAAGCACTATTTTATGTTACCAGTTACAACTATTTTATAAATGCTTTACTACTATTCTTCTATATAACATCTTAAATATTTGAAAATAGAGAGCACAGTGTCCCCATCTTTAGGACTGTCCTTAATTACCTCACCAGTTCTCTTTTCGCAGAGCTATCACATAATGTGATCACCTGGATCACTCTATTCAGGATACCCCAAAGTGTGTATATGTTCCTTTAATAAATTTGATTAAATTTATTTGGGTAACAATAGTTAATAAAATTATATAGGTTTCAAGTATACAATTCTATAATACATCTTCTCTATATTACATTGTGTGTACACACACAATATCAAGTCTCCTCTTTTTAAAATAGAGTTCACAGAACTGAATGGATTATTTTGCTCTGTGGTCCTAATTCTTGTGTCTTGGAATAACACTGAGGTCAGAGGAGTGCTGAAATAAACGATTAGATCTAATCAATTGGGATTTTTACAATTTAATTTATATTCAGCCTTGTGTTAGCTATTATGGAAACTATACAAGTAGTCATATTGTCTGCAACCTAGCCAAAAGGACACAAAAGAAGTAAACCAAGATAGAGGAGAGTATGAAGATGTTTGAAAATAAAAAGTGAATCTTCCTCTATTTTCCATTCCTATCGTTGTACTATTTTAACTATTATTATTTAAATATCTATCTGTAAAAATTGGTTTAATCTAGAAAATTAAATTATATCTTGTGATGGAAGATTTGAGGATTAAATGATGTGGTGGACATCTAATGCAATATACAGATGATATATCGAAAAATTGTACACTTGAAACCTATATAATCTTATTAACTATTGTCACCCAATAGATTTAGTTTTTTTTAAGATGATAAATGCTATTTTTAAATATAGTTATTGCAGATGAGGACATAATCTTTTATTGTAAAATCTCATTGAAGTCCCTAATTGGTATTCAAAGAAACTACAAACTCCAGAAAGAAAAGGGATATTTTGAGTTATAACTTAGTTTAATCAAACAATATATTTCTTACTCATGAATATCTCAGTGTTCATGAAAGTATGCCTGCTAACTGTAAATTATTTATTGTCTTCTCTTATGTTAGTCAGAGAATCAAGAAGAAAATTATGGAATCAAGAATCCTTTACTTTGACATTTTCCAAACCACCTCAGCCAGGTAGAAAAAAGATATCAAGACCTTCAGAATTACAAATCACAGTTCCTGTAAGTACTGACAAGGGTACTTTAAAACTAAATCTAAGATAATATATTATATAAATATAGATAAACATATGTAATTTGAATTTTACTAAATATTGGTAGCAGATATTTTAAAATGCATAATTCTCCATAAATCAGGTTTTCCTTATCTGTTTCAGATAAAACTTTTATTTATATGTGGCTCTACATTTCAACAACATTATATAGCTAAAAGGATAAGAAAGCTAGATAATCAAATACTGCAAATGGTGAGATATCTCAGAAAATTTTTTACCAGATGTAAAAACAAAAAAATTGAAACTCAGAACAGGAGCTGCTCTTGATGAGGTGTCAGAGCCTCTCCCTTTTCCTCAATCTGGCTCTAAGGATACTAGATACTGGGAGGATCAAGTTTTTTACTACTTTTATAAAGTGGAGTTACCAGCAGCCAAAAGAAAAACTAGCTCTCAGAGGTCAATCCATGCTGTTATCAAATTATGTTTCAAAAACATGTCCAAAATCATCATTACATTCAGTACATTTATTCAAGAGCTATTCATTACATCTGTAGTGATTTAGTGTATGTTTTTTCTTTATCATCTTCCTTTAATTCCTTATGACCAGTTCATTGACTGGTGATGACTATACTGAATAGTTGAAAGAATATAAGAAGTAAATGTAAAATTAATCTAAAAATCCACTATGACAAATGTTGGGTGGGAATGTAAAAATACTACACTACTGCTACACAAATTAATCTGAATCAAACATTTGTTTTATTCTATGTATTTGCTTTTGATAACACTTCACAACAGGGAAGTTGATCAGAGACATTGAAAGCAGAAATAGAAATGAGGTTTTTCCTGAAGCCTACAGCTATCACAAGAATTGGCATGGCAATCTTGATGGGCATAAGCTTATTTATTAACTAACTTGAGGGTCAAAGATACACAAAATGTTCTAAAAGGTCTCTCCCATATTGGGTCCAAAATGAACCCACTATCAATTGTAAATACAGGCCCTGAAATATCATGGATCATTTTTTGTCTGCTTCAATCTCAATATAAATCAATATGTGAATAACATTTCTCCTAAAGTAATTTTATTTGCAAAGTAGAATTATCCTAGCCATTAAAGAGGCAATATGCTAATTGACCTTTACACCATTGCAAAGATGGTAGTGCCCATAGTCAATATGGAGGGAATATGCTAATTGACTGTTCTTTCTTCAAATATGGAGGTGCCCACAGCCACAAGATGGCGGCACCCAGTCCCCTCAGCCTTGCCGGGGGTGACAGGGTGGACCCAGCCACTCTGCATGCCATCTAGAGTCCCCCAGTCCCCTCAGTCCCCCAGCCACCCAGGGCTTGTCTGAGACACAGGCAAGCCTCAGATGGTGCCTTCCCTGCCACCCAGGACCAGCCTGAGGTGCAGGCAAGCCTCAGATGGTGGCTACCCAGTGCCCAGGGCCACCCGAGGCTCAGATAACCAGGGCTGGCCAAGGCTTGTGCTGCCGGCAGTGGCAGCAGCAGAGGTGTCATGGGACATCACCTTTTCCTGATCACCAGGTGGCCTCCTGCCCCTGAGGGCTCGCAACTGTAAGAGGAGGCAAGCCACCTGAGGGACCCCCCTCCAGTGCATGAATTTTCATTCACTGTGCCTCTAGTCTCATATAAACATATATAGGACATTGGAAAAAAAATAAATTTTAAATAGATGGTTAGTAAGAAACCAGACTTATTTTCAATTTTTAATATATAATTATTTTTGATTTCATGAAAAATTTTAAAATTTATTGGGGTGACTTTGGTTAATAAAAGCATATAGGTTTCAAGTATACAATTCTATGTTACATTATCTGTATATTGCATTGTCAAAAATTCTTGTTGTTATTCTAACTAATCTTTTTAGAGATATGATAAAAGAAAATTGGAGGAAGTCTGTAAGCCAGCTCATACATGGATATGGCATTTTTTAAGAAAAAATTTCCAAAGACCATCTAATTATTTCACTCTCAGGCAACAAGCTCCATTTAGACATCCTTATACTCTTAAAGCCCATCCTAAAAATTTTAAAGATAACAGTAAAAAAATAACATTTAAGAAAAATTCCAAGAAAAATACTCACCCATATGAGACAACTATAGAATCCAAGGAAACAGGAAATGATAAAAAATCTAAAATAGCAAACAAAGAAGATAAAACTCCATCAAAATCATTACATGCAAGTGAACTATCTAAGAAGTCAAAGTACAAGTCTGGGATAAATCCAAAATCCAAAAATTATCAGAAAGTCTTAATACATCCAAAAAATAGTAGAACTTTTAAAAATTCCAAGGATACAGACATTGAACCCATATGTACAAAAAAGGATTCTAAGAGCTCAAAGAACAATTTTAATGCCAAATCTGAGGCTTGCTCAAAAAATAATTCCAACATGAATTTAATGCTTTATTTAGAGGAGTCTGGTGCTGAATCTATGGAATTCGATATGTGGTTAAAGAATTACTCACATAATAATTCAAAGAAGCCTGCAAAGAAAGACTCAAAGAAAAGCTCTGATGCTGAATCTGGAGATTCAAAAGATGCAAAGAAAGATAAAAAAAAGAAAGGAGACAAGAAGAAGAAGAAGAATGCAAAGGACACAGAGTCTACTGAAGCGGAATCTGGGTCTGGACTGGAGTCAAAAAAAGGTAAGAAAGATTTGAAGAAAGGTAAGAAACCTTCAAAGAAAGATGACAAGAAAAAGGATATCAAGAAGGAAGTATTGTCAACTGATGATGATCCTGAATCTGAATCGATCTCAAAAAAGGGTGAAAAAGATGAAAAAAATAAGAAAGAGTTAAAGAAAAGTGAGAAAAAGAAGCCTGCAATGAAGTCTGAAAAGTCTAGTGAAACTGAATCTGATTGGGAGTCAAAAAAGGATAAGAGAGATTCAAAGAAAGCTACTAAAATGCCAAAGAAATATTCCAAGAGAAAGGATGCAATGAAAAACATAGACTCTACTGACACTGAATCTGATGTGTCTTTGAAGAAAGCCACAAAAAAGCCTGTAATAAGCAAAAGTTCAGGTACTGAATCTGAAGAGTCAATGTATAAAGCTGGGTCTAAAAAGAAATTTGTTTATGAATCTGATGCAACATCTACAGATTCAAAGAAGGAAGCACTGGAAAGAAAAAGAAATGTTAAAATGTCATTCAGAAGGTCCTCATTTAAAGGAAGAGGAAAAAGCACAATTATAGGTAGAGTTCCTCCATCAAGAGAGAGTTCACTACCATCTCCTTGCGAGCCTTTACACCTATCACCTAAGATCAAACATATCTGTCGGTGCAAGTTGGATCCTCCAAAACCAAAACCAAGATATGCTCCTTTGGTATGTTTACTCATTTTATTTTATAGATATATATTAGAAATGAAAGGTATTTTAATGATTTGAATTCCTATTTTCTCTAAAGAATAGTCCTCTTTTACTGGAATATTGACAAGTTTGGGACTCTCAGGTAAGAAAGATAAAGAATACTTCTAAAACACTGAAAATAGTTGCAAAACAAATGTCAAAAAGTTAGAATAATATATAGACTGAAGCATAGAGAACTTACGATTTGAAAAAAACACTTAAAATTAATTGTAACGGGAATCACATTGCAAAAGTGGTTAACTGTTCTATACGTGAGGGGGGGAAAATGAAACTTGACTAAAACTTGTACAGAGGCAGATTTGAGTAAGATATAAATACATTCTCTAGGAAATTGCTGACCATGGGGGGGGGGGGGGGAAACATAACCAATATCCAGACAGAGCTTGTTGGAACTAAAACATACCAGAATTCAGATAGGCAAAATATTACTTATTTAATCCATATCTGAACTAAACTTCTTTATGAGACATTATTCTTACTGATGATCAGAAAAAAGGTTAACTTGCAATAAGTAATTCGAACTCCTCTGGTTTATAAATGTTTCTTTCAGGTTAGCTCAGTCTCATGGGATAAATATTCCATAAATTTAAATTTTGCATTTTGGCCCACCAGGGTATGACCTCTTTCATCTCCTTCACCCAACATCTGGCTATAAGGGGAAGCTTAAGTAGAAATCTCACTTTGGTTAGAGCTGCTTCTGTCCTCCATGTTGTCCTCTCTTTATAGTTTTCTCTGGTCATTGGTTGAGTTGTAGCTCATATTCATGGTTACAGTGTATCAGCCTGTGTTTCTCTGCTTTCTTACACAGTTTGTTTGTTTGTTTGTTTTGTCTGTTTTCAGTATGGTATGGCGAAATCTGCTGAAATGAGAGAATCTGTAGCTATGTCTGGGTATTGATATTGAGCTTCTAATATTAATCTCCTCCTCCCCTTTCTCTACTTCTTCACTGTCCTCCTATTCTTTTTCTTTTTTCTCAGAGGGCTTCAATTTACTCTTCTAAACTTGTTGGAATCTCCATTTGCTTTTCATATATTATTTTGGAATTTATAAATTGTTTTCTCTCTCAGAAAGTCTGGAATTTTAAGTCCATTTTATCCTACTGGATTCAAAAAGTCAGCTTTGAGACTAAAAGCTGAAATAATAATGCCCTTGGTTACAGTTCAATCTTGGAGGTTGAGTCAATGGGTGGGTAGTAAAAAATGAATATATATTGGGGCTATAAGGATGAATATATATATTGTTGGATAATTTTAAGGTAAATAAAAACAGTAACCTCAAATAGCTATATTATTTTCCACAAGCAGTTTTTATAAAAAATCAGTAAAAGTAAGAAAACTATTTGATGCCAAAGATAAGTTCAACTTCAGGATACATTCTGGGCTTATATGTATTCACCACCAAAGGTCTTTAAAAACTTCCATATACTACGGAAACCAGTTTGGTTCAGTGTATAGAGCATCGGCCTGCAGACTAAAAGGTCCCAGGTTCAATTCCGGTCAGGGGCATGTGCCTTGGTTGCAGGCACATCCCCAGTAGGGGGTGTGCAGGAGGCAGCTGATTGATGTTTCTCTCATCGATGTTTCTAACTCTCTCTTCCTCTGTGTAAAAATTCAATAAAAATATTTTTAAATAAATAAATAAATAAAATTCCATATGCTTAACTACCATCCAATCAGACTTTTCTATCCTTACCACTTTTCAAGATTACCAAATACTTTCTTGGGACCGCATCAACTGGTCTCTCCTCACCTTTTTTTTATATTTTTGACAGTATTAGAAATGCTCCCATTTCCCTCTTACCCACTTCCATCCAGCTGCTGACCTACCCTACATCTTATTCTATAATCTGATAGCATTTGAGCTAATCTCTCCCTCTTGATAAAGCACTTACTTGACTTGACTTCTATGACTCCATGCTCTCTTGTTTTTCTTTCTACTTATTTATTGCTTTTCACTATCTTTATTGTATCTTTATCTACCTAACATTTAATGAGGGAATGACCCAAAATTTGGTCCTGATTTTTTCTATCTATAATTTTCCCTTGGTGAGTTCATTAAATGCATTGATTCCATATACCATCTGTCTACTGATGAGTACAAAATTATTACATGTAGCTCTGATCTTCCCATTGAGTTTTCAAATTCTTATATTCTGCATTGTGGCAGAATGCATGGGAGAATGATCAGCCAGCACTCTGAGGGAGGAAAGTTTAACTTTTATTTCACAGATCTGCTAGTCCAGGGGAATTCCAGATCCAAAGCCTGAACAGAACTAGTGGGGAGACTATGACTATATATCTCCTCCTTTGGTGGGCCCCTGAGTGTTCCTGCAACTCCATCCAAGTCAGTTTTGGCAGGGTCCTGGGGTTAGGCTCTGCAGATCTGCCCAAGTCAGTCAGAGTGGGGAAGTAAGACCACAGTTTTAACCAGATACCGAACTAGGTTGCAACCCCTCCCCCCTGGCTGCCATTTTACTTTTCATTCCCCGCTCTTATTCCACAGGCTATTCTTAGCCTTGGGGATTATAAAGACTCAGCAATTTCGGGTAAGTTCAAAGCTTTAACTACTTCCTGCTGAAGGGGAGGCAACAAAAAAGAAGGTTCAGTATCCCGAGTCTTCACCATCTTCCCCAAGGGGGTTGTTGGAGTAGCAAGAGCAGAGAAGTTCCCCTCCCAGTACCAGTCTGGGGTTCTGGCAACACTCGTATGAAGACAGAATAAAACTATTAGAATAAAACAAAAACAATAATTATCCAGATAGGAGGGGATTAGGAGATTCAGGTCAGGCAGCCGGATCCGCTGTCTTCTTGAAGATGATCCTCAGTGGGTGGTTCAGGTCAGAGATCACCTTCCACTCTGGATGCTGATTGTCCATCTTGTGAGCTGCTTTTACTCTGGAGTGGTGGATCCAGGTGTTCAGTCTTGCAGAGGGGTTGGTTAGTATGACTGGATAAGGTCCCTCCCAGGTTTGCTTAAAGGGTTTCCTTTTTCCAATCTTTTACCCAAACCTGGTCCCCAGGCTTGTGGCAGTGCACAGCTATTCCTAGAGAGATGGGCAATAGATCAGTAACCCATATGTGGACTTCAAGGATAGTTTTCCCAAGTCCTTGTAGTTGTTTCTAAATTTCTAAGTTCCCTATTTCCCCCAAATCTCCATTTGGCCAAATTAAGGGAGGGATTCTGCCATATGGAATTTGAAATGGAAAGAACCCTACCCTGGCTCTCAGGACACAGAACACCTGTAGGTACACAAGTGGTAAGATATCTGTCCAGGATAAGTTTGTCTACTGGCATAGCTTAGCCATAGCCTGCTTGAAAGTCCAGTTCATGTGTTATACTTTCCCTGAACTCTGGGGCCTGTAGGCTGTATGTAAGTTCCACTTAATTCCTAAGGCCTTAGCTACCTGCTATATTACCTTAGCTATAAAGGTTGGGCCATTATCTGACCCTATGAGTTTTTTAAAATATATTTTATAGATTTTTTACAGAGAGGAAGGGAGAGGGATAGAGCGTTAGAAACATCAATGAAACATCAATCAGCTGCCTCCTGCATACCTCTTGCTGGGGATGTGCCCACAACCAAGGTACATGCCTTTGACTGGAATCAAAACTGGGACCTTTCAGTCTGCAGGCCGATGCTCTATCCACTGAGTGAAACTGGTTGGGGGATGACCCTATGGTTAATGGAATTTTATACTAAGAAATTATGTCCTTTGTGACTTTTCTCACCTTCTCCGTGTGGGTAGGATATGCCTCAACCCAGACTGTAAAGGTGCTAACAAAAACTAAAAGATATTTATTTCCTCTACTGGGGCCCTATTTCTGTTAAGTTTACCTCTAGATCTTCAAAGGGAGCCTGCCCACAGCGCTGAATTCCTATTGGTCCTACAGGACCCTGCCTTGCATTGTTCTGTACACAGAGGATGCAGCACTGTGTGACTGAGCTGCATAAGGAGGGGAGATGGGCAATTAGATAGTATCTGCTTAACAAGGATTCTAGAGCCGTTTTCCTTAAATGGTTAAGTTCATGCTGCTGGAGGACTATTCTAAGAGCTAACTGTTCTGGAATGTAGACCCTATGATATGAGAATATCCACCAACCTTCTTTCATCCTTTTACCCCCTTCTTGTTGGGCCTATTCTTCTTGAGGGATATATTTTGGAGATTCAGCATGATCTGCAATGGCACTGCTCACTCCTTAGCAGCTAGCCTTGCCATTGCATCTGTGTGATGGTTCCCTTCTGACACTGAGTCTTCTCCTGTTTGGTGTCCTCTACAATGGATGGCTGTTACTTCCTTGGGCTCCCAGACTGCTTCTAGTAACTTCAAGATCTCATTCTAATTTTTTATTTCTTTTCTTCCAGCTATCAAGAGCTCCTTTCCTTGTATATAGCCCCATGGATATACAGGGTAACGAAGGCATAGTGCAAGTCAGTGTAGATGTTTGTGCGCTTATCCTTACTGAGATATAAGGCTCTGACTGGGGCCCAAAGTTCTGCCCTCTGCACTGATTATCCTTTAGGAAGCGTCTGTGCTCTATTTCAAATTTTTATACCATTGTATACTCAGCTCATTTTTTTTCTTTATCTACTGCCATCCATTAACAATACTAAGTCTGGATTTGGTAGAGGCCTGTCTGTTAGATCTGGCTGGCTGGAGTAAACCTCCTCTAGGATTTCTAGATAATCACGCTCTGGGGTTTCCTCTGTGATGTCATCTGCAAATAGTAACAGCTTTACTTCTTTTCTGATTTAGATGGCTTTTGTTTCTATTTCTTGCCCAATTGCCCTGGCTAGAATTTCCAATTCTATATTAAATATAATTGGTGAGAGTAAGATTTTGTCTTGTCCCTGATCTTATATAAAAAGCTTATCACCATTAAGTACTATTTTAACTGTGGGTTTGTTACATATGGCCTTTATTATGTTAAGATACATTCCTTTTATACCCATTATTAGAGGCCCAGTGCACAAAATTTGTGCAAACAATCAGGGCTGATCTGGACCTTCTGGCTGCTGGCCAGGGCCTTCTTTCCCAGATGCCAGTTCTTTTAATCCATGCCACCTCCTGATGGTCAGCACATGTCATAATGAGTGGTCGAACTCCCGAGGGGACAATTGGCATATTAGCCTTTTATTATATAGGATTGTGAATTACTTTTTTCATAAATTAATGTTGAATTTTGTCAAATCCATTTTCTGCATTTAAGGAGATGACTTTTTATCCATCATTTTGTTAATGTGGTGTAATGAATCCACTGGATTGGGATATATTTTTTAATGTTTTGTTGTGTGTGATTTGCTAGTCTTTTGTTCTCTTGAAATCTATATTGTCAGATATAAGTATGGCTGCACCTGCATTTCTGTGGATGACATTTATAATACTTGGAGAATCATTTTCTACCTTTTTATTTTGAGTCTATCTTTTCTTTTGCAGCTTAGATGTTTGTTTGTTTTTTGTTTGTTTGTTTGTTTGTTTGTTTTTATCCAATATGTTACTCTGTGCCTCTTCATTGGTGAATTCAGTCCATTTGTATTTAAGGTTATTATTCAATGTATGAGGGTTTCCAATAGTCATTTATCTTTTTTTCTTCTGCTAATTCTGTGCCTCTATTGGTTCTTTTTCTTTATGTCTCTTTGTTGTTTTTGTTTGGTGATAATCTATCATTTTTCTCTGTTTCCTCTTTTTATACATTGTGTATCTCAGGGGATTTTATATGTGTGGTTACCTTTAGGTTTGTTAAAAAGAATATTTCATATATATAGTGGTCTTTTTCTTTAAAAGTGCTCTTTTAATGGTCTTCTGTAATAATAAGTCCTCTATGATAGTTGTCAGTTTGTTCCATGTATCCAAATATTTGTTAAGTGCCATGATGTTGGAAAGAACATTTAACTGTGAATCAAGAATATTAGTGATAAAACACATATATTACAATAAAATCAAGATACTTATAATCAATGATCAAGAAATAAGAACAGATAATTTATGCAGGAAGAGATAAATATTGTATAAAAACAAAATAATGAAAAATATTTACTATGAGGTATTAGTAATCAAATAAAACCATGAGATAATTTTTCATCTAATAATGCAGTAAGATGTAAAATTTTGTCTATAATTTTATATGTATTAAATATGTAAAATATATTGTATAAAGATGGATAGATAGATTTTATGTAGAGTTGTCAAGGCTTCAGGCTCATTGGTACATTTGTTCACTGCTGACTATAGAAGAGGAATGACATAAATTGGCTTCATTTTTCTCTGGGCCTATATGGAACTATGTAAGAAAGGTCCTAATTTGATCAATACTCTTTGATTCAGTAATCTCATTATTTAAAATGTATTATAATGAAAAAAATCAGTAGAAGGAAAAACAAACTCTAGGAATAAAAATAATGAGTGCAATAAGTCTATAAGAAAAATCTTTGAAATCTTAATGTATAAAATTAAGAGAATGGTTTAGTAAAACATAAAACAGAGTAGTATGCATTCATTGAAACAATAATTATGAAGCCTTAATAATACAAGGGGAAATTTCATACTATGATGTTGGAACTACACAAAAACCTGCATCCTTGTGGAGAAAGTAGACAAAAACATGCAAATATAAACATACTTATATAACTGTGGTGTAATTTAGAGTGACTAACAGCTATTTTTAGTGTATTTTTGTGTTTTTGTTCATTATAAATTAAGTTCTAGTATATTAAAATTTGTGAAGCTTTAGATTTATAATATAACATTGCTAGGGCCTGATTTTTTACACAAATGCTGGTGGTGAGACTAGAATTTAGTACTTCTCATCTTTGAGTGGAGATTTTAGAATTACCCAGGAAAGTTGTTGAAAATGCATGTTACTAACTCCATCTCAGAATTTAACTTCGAAGGTCTGGGGTGGAGTCCATGGACCTGTATTTTTAATTAGAAATAACTAAAATTTATATCCAAGTTCTCTTCCACTTATGGCATTCTGCTTTTTTAATTTAGTGCTTAATACACCAGAAACTCTCTATAATGATTAGATAAATAAGAATCTTTTTCTTTTCTTATACTTTATTTCTTAGCCTGAAGCAAAGTGGATTCACAAGCTGCTTTAAAGAACAGCTGAGTGCTTGCTTTCACAGAATGGCCTTACCACAGTAAACCCCAGCTACTCGCCAATGGGCATTGATACTTCTGTGGGACTGTAATAAATAACATCAAGTCTTCTGTGAGTACCAGGATCTGATTTTTTGCGTGTGATTTATAGAAGTCTTTGTAGAGGTGTGTACTTTATTCATTAAATATCTGAACTAAAGTACTCCAGTATTTTACCCCATGCTCTGAAGCTTCATTTGGAAGCAATTTTTTCAGTTTAGGTTAAAACTTAGTGATTTTCCTTTTATATTGTGTTAATTTTTTCTTCCATTTATTATTAAAAGAGTAAATAGAGCCCTAGATTGTTTAGTTAAGTAGTTAGAAAATCCTCTTATACAAGGAAGGGTTGCAGGTTTCATCCCAAACCTGATCATCATACTTATGGGAAGCAACCAATAAATGTCTCTCTCTCTCTCTCTCTCTCTCTCTCTCTCTCTCTCTCTCTCTCTATCTATCTATCTCTTCCTCTTCTTCTCTCCCTCCCTTTCCCTTCCACTCTGACTAAAAATCAATGGAAAAATATATATCCTTGGGTGAGGATTAACAATTAAAAAAGAGTAAGTAGAATGGAAGTAAGCTTATTTTTCATGCCCTTAAAAGAAATAGAGTTTTATGTATATAGCAATTCTCACTTCCCACATACACATACAGTTTTCAATGTAATATTTACCTTTAGACAATTTCCTTTTAGTTTATTACTGTCTTTAATAATAACTTGAAAGTGTCCCTAGAATAATGACAGACATTTGTCAGTTATTTTACATATTTCCATGATTATGCTTTCCATATTATTTCCTGAGATCATTTAAGGGTTTTGGAAGAAGAGATAAATAACAGATGATAGATGATGGATAGATAGATGATAGATAGATAGATAGATAGATGATAGATAGATAGATAGAAAATTGGTAGATTATTTTCTAAGTACTATAAACTAGATAGCTTATAAAAATAAAAATTTATTTCACACAATTCTGGAGTCTGGGGATTCTAAGATCAAGGGGCCAGGAGATTTAATGCCTGGAAAGAGCCCACTTTGTGGTTCATACACAGCCCTTCTCACTGTTTCCTTACATGGTGCATAATAGTGAGCCCAGTGGAGATTCTTTTATAGAAACACTAATCTAATTCATGAAGGCTGCACCCTCTAAAAGCATCTGCCAAAGGCCCTATCTAATACCAACATATTGGGCATTTTTAACATATGAATTCTGGGGTCCATAAATATTTAATCTATAGCAATAATACATACTCAGACAGATAAATATAAATGTAAAAACCTTTCAGTTCACCAAGTCTGCTGTCTGCCTTTATGGTATAATCTTCAGTTCTAATTACTCTCAGAAATGCCTACATTTCTGAGAATTTTAAAGCGGTGCATTTTTCTAGCTCATTTGACCAATTACATATGTCCTAATTTACAAATAAAATGTTTTTCATTGCAACATTATAAGTAGGAAAGGTTTAAAAATAATCCAATTGTCTGTCAATAAGTGACTGATTGAAAACATAATAGTAATTCTCCACAATGGAATGCCATATGAATGTAAAAAATAATAAGGAAGCTCTCTTTGTGGTGAGATGAAAATATCTTCATTATAACTTTATCTAAAAAATTAAGGTGGTGAAGAACATATATATTCTGGACAAACAGGGGGAGGGACCACAGGAGGTTGACTACTGGCCCCAGTAGAGAGCTGGCCCTCAGACCCCTGGGAAAGGTGCTCTGTCTGCCACAACCCATCCCTAGTTCCCCATCCCAACCTGGGGACTGAAGGCCCCAGCGGGGTTGGGAGAAGAGGCAATAAAATAGTCCGGGCACAGAAGAAATGGATTCTGGATGCTGATGCCGCCCCATCATAGTTCCCCACCTCCCACCCTACTACTTCCCTCACTGCCATGCCATCACTGCAGTGAGTGGACACCAATTGGGGCCTGCGGGCTGGGGGAGGGACTGTGGGAGATTGACCGGCTGGGGAGGTTGGCTGTGGGAGCACACTGACCATGAGGAAACAGCTCCTGCATTGAGTGTCTTCCCCCTGGTGGTCAGTGAGCATCATAGCGACCATTAGTTCCTGTTGTTCTGATCGAGCACATGTGTCAAACACAAGGCCCGCGGGCCAAATCCGTCCCGCCAGGCCGTGCAATGTGGCCCGCACCGCGCTGTCATCACTGCACTCCGCTGCGTTTCCATCACAATGAGTTTATGACTGTTCAGTAAACCATTCGGCCCGCGATTTAGGCTGGATTTTAGATTTTGGCCCCTTCTCTGATTGAGTTCGACACCCCTATACTAGAGGCACAGTGCATGAAATTCATGTATGGGAGGGGG